AAAAAAAAAAAAAGATGGAATCTACACATTTACCTAGGGAACACAGAGCTCTTGATACACATAATATTTACCACTAGTGAGATTTGGTATATTTGCAATGTTGTGCAACCATTAGCACTGTCTAGTTCCAGAACATTTCTGTGTCTCCATGCTTTTTTTTTACCCTGACCTTTCACCTAGTGTGTTCTTTCTTGCCTTCACTTAACTCCTCTTCAGGGAAGAACTGCATCATTTGTAATTTCAGTCATACCTTCCTACCATCCTGGAGACTTTGGCCTCCTGGACCCTCTGCTGTTCTCCAACCCTGAGCATTTATCTTTTTTTTGCTGTGGGGCTAACATTGCTACAGATTATTTAGACCAAACAGCTGAACATACTTAATGGGATACATGAAAACTCTATATTACCTTGCCTCAGGTGAGCCTTTGTTCTGCTTAACAATCTGTTATTTAATTCCTTTGGTTCCTGTATCATTTGTCCCTGGGGCTGCTGTAAACATTTTTCATTTTCTTTTAAGTTTGCGATTCCATTAGCTCTCTTACTGAGAGCCGCCCTCTCCCCTGCTTTAGTGGGAGCTCAGACAGCTCCTCAGCTGCTTTCTTCCCCAGCTTCCTCCTTCTCCACCTCCCATTGTTTCTCTCTCTACTGAGGTTTCCTTCTTCCTGAATCTAAACCTCTGCCTGGGCTCTTGATCTCGTCTACCCTTGCTTTGTCTGGCACTTTCTTCCATCAGCCTTCGGCCTTCCACATGTATCTTTCCACGAGTTCTGCTCTCCTTGAAGGCATGCTCATCTCTCCCCTAACCTGAAGAAGCCCTTCCTTAATAGCCAAGCTAGGGGGCCAGCCCCGTGGCACAGCAGTTAAGTGCATGCGCTCCGCAGCTGGCGGCCTGGGTTCGGATCCCTGGTGCGCACCGACGCATTGCTTGTCAGGCCATGCTATGTCGGCGTCCCATATAAAGTGGAGGAAGATGGGCACGGATGTTAGCTCAGGGCCAGTCTTCCTCAGCAGAAAGAGGAGGATTGGCATGGATGTTAGCTCAGGGCTGATCTTCTTCACACCCACACACAAAAAACATAGCCAACCTAGTCTCGTTCCCCTTCCCTGTACTGCCAAGCATATTGAAAGAGCCTGTACTAATTGTCTCTACTTGCCTCTCTACTCCTCTCTTCTTGCAACATGGCTTCTGCCCACTGTGCTGATTGATCCTCCAGAAGGCATTGAGCCTTGTGTGGCCCTAGTTCTCCATACCATCGCTACAGTTTTTGACACTCATTACATCCTCCCTTTTTTGTCTTTTAAATTCCTGTCTTGATTTGAAAACACTGTGCTGTCTTGGTCCTCTTACCTCCGTAATAGTTCCTTTCCTTCTTTTTTTTTTTTTTTTTGAGGAAGATCAGCCCTGAGCTAACATTCATGCTAATCCTCCTCTTTTTGCTGAGGAAGACCAGCTCTGAGCTAACATCTATTGCCAATCCTCCTCTTTTTTTTTTTTGCTCCAAAGCCCCAGTAGATAGTTGTATGTCATAGCTGCTGCACATCCTTCTAGTTGCTGTATGTGGGACGCGGCCTCAGCATGGCCGGAGAAGTGGTGCGTCGGTGCGCACCCAGGATCGGAATCCGGGCCGCCAGTAGCGGAGCGCGCGCACTTAACCGCTAAGCCACGAGGCCGGCCCCTTTCCTTCTTAATTATGCTGCTTTCTAGCCTCCAATTGTGCATGTTCCCCTAAAGCTCTGTCTTTGGTCTGTTAAGAGAGACACCTTAAGATGTACCAAATAATGAATAATCTCCCCCTCCCTTGTTTGTAAGTAAATGAAATTAACAAACTGTGATTCTTGTCTATTGTCAGGTCATTCATATTAAGAACCCAAACAGAAATTATACACAGTACAATAAGAGAAGATGTGCTTTTTGTTAAATTCCTATGAGAAGTCGCTCTCTGACAAGAATTTTGCTTGTTTTCTACTTACTGTTTCAAGTAGAGAATAGTAAGGGAGTTGCCCCTTGGTGCCTCAGATGAGGTGAGACAGTTATGGTTGTGCCGTAAATAGAAAATGAGTTATGGTTGCATATCACCAAGAACCAACCCCGTCTACCTCAGGGGAGGAGATAAAAAGGATTAAGAAACCTTAATTTCTTAGCCCCTGTCAGCCAGTTATGGCTAAGAGTGCCTCCCCCTCTATCCAAGTGAGCTGCACCAACTAGGGGGCAAGACTTCTTGGGCATTCAGAATATTGCGGAGGACTAGAAACTGTGTGGTGGCTTCTGCACATTGCTTAGCGTGACATTGGGAAAGGGAATAAGAGGACAGCAGAGGGCCCTTTGATTTGTCTCAGTGTTGTAACACATTTTCCTCGTTAGAAATCTTAAAGAGGCAAGGTACGGCTTGGCCCCAAGTCCTCAGAGGAGAGTCGGTGCTTGTTTTGGCAGTCCTAAAGCAGTTCTGTGTCCCTCTGTCCTCACTCCCTGGGTGGCTCATCATCTCTTCCACATCAGCTAGCAGTCAGCTCCCGTGTCCAGAGCTCCAGGCCTGCCTTCCTCTCCTAAGCTCATACCGTCGTCTTGGGTGAATATCTCTACACAGATGTCCTACTGGCACTAGACACCCAACATTCCTGGTGCTGGTTCCATCGTCTTCCCCTGAGACTCCAAACCGGTTCCTCTCTCAGACTTCCTTAGTGTAGTGCAGAGTATCGCCAGGATTGTGTGCTGATTTCTAATCTCCCGGCGCAGGCTGCTGCTAGCATTTCCAACGTCTCATTTATACATTGCAGATGAAGGGCGAAAAGGTGCCCGTCTGGGCAGCAGAATTCCTAAAGACATGTCCTTCTCCTAGACTTACCTTCAAGCCGGGGTGATGGCTTGGTCAGTAGAGCAGGGGCTGGGCTTTAGCCACTAGAGCCCTTAGCCAGGCCTTTATGGGACACAAAGTCTAGAACTGTACTCACCTTCGCCAGCCAGCCTTTCCCTTTCTCCTTCTAAGCTCCACTGGCAGATGACTTTGCCCCAAGATCAGTTCTCATCTCCTTTTGTTCCTGCAAAACAAAGCAAGCAAACAAATGAAAACTCCCACTGTAGCCAGAAGCATGCCTGAACACCTGAACCTGTCACTTACGGCCATTCATACGATTTCTTCCTCTTATGCCCTCCCTTATTGTTCCTTGAAATTCTATTCTGTCATCTGTCACATTCTACCTTCTATTATATTGTTAAACTTACTTCCCTTTTGAGAGTAGAAGCTCCTTGAAGGTAGACACTGTATCTTAGCCTTCTCTACATCCTCTCACACCCTAGTGCAGTGCCTTGCGTGTGCAAGTCTGGTATCAATATACGTTGCATAGCCAGCTTCCCGTTCTTTCTAGTGTGAACTTTCTTTAGTGACGGGAGCTCCCTCTGTGCTCCATCCAGGTAGAGCACAGCCACTAGTCGGGCTGCTGCAGCTTTCTGTGCAACGTGGGGAAGTTATTCAGTCTCTCCAAGCCTCAGGTTCTTGCTGTTGTTCAAGTTAATTGTCATCCTGTCTCAGAGTGTGACTGTGAGAATTGAGTTAATTCGTGTAAATTGCCTGACATCATAAGCTGCACTCCAGCGATAGCTATTACCCTAATAATAATAATGTTGTCACCATCTAGGTTCCCAGCACTAAAGCCAAGTCAAAGGTGTGTGTTAGACCATAAGCAAGTCTGAGTGTGACTACGTAGACCTAGTTTGTTTTTTTAAAGACTAACTTGGTCATTCTCATTGTAACTATTCCTTGCTTAACAAAGTTAAATATATCCAGCCGTTTCTTATTGGAGTTATAAGTTTCCCTGTATGAATTTAAATGCTAAGCTTACCTGTCCCCTGTTGGATTGTGTATATTATGTCTAGAAACTTTTATTCTCTTCTGCAGATATGGTGTTGGTCCTGCCACAATGGATGTGCCCTTTTGAAAATGTCAGCACTGCCCAAAGAACAGGATGACGGCGTTTTACAAATCCAAAAGAGCTTCTTGGATGGGTCAGTACTCTTCTGCGTTTTGTTATTGTTTAGGTCAGTTCTTGTTTTCTGAGAAGCAAGGAGCAGTTCTTAGTAGTATGTCCATTTCTCTTTACCTGCTGATAGCTTAGTGTTGGGAATACAACTTGGAGTGGTCATTTTTAATTACTTTGAAAGGAGTCAGTGTAACGTAATTATTAGGAATGTCAACTGCATTGTTTTTAGAGATGCACGCTGAAGCATTTGGGGGGAAGTGGCATGAGGTCTGTAGCGTTAACAGTTGTCAAATTTAGGTCATGGTGTGTATCACTGTTCTACTTTTCTGCATGCCTGAAATTTTCAAAATAAAAAGTGAAAAACTCAAAGTGGGTGAATTAAAAACAAAAAAGAAAAAGGAGTGGACTTTGGAGTTAAAATGCCTTGGTTCAAATGTGGCTCGATCAGTTTATAAGTTTCATTATCTTGGGCTTGGAAGTTCTGCTCCACGCACCTCCATTCCCACCTCCGTTGACTGGGAGTGGTGGTCCTGTGGTGGTTACCTTGTTGGTGAGGATTAAATAGGAGGATACCTCCAGAGCTCTTCACACAGACCTTGGCACATCATAAGCGCTCAGGAAAAATAAGCTATTTCTAATTCATGTCTCCTCTTCTAATCTCTTGTTATTTTTTGATACCTAGAATTTACAAGACCATCCACAGGCCACCCTATGAGATTGTTAAAACTGAAGACCTGTCAAGCAACTTCCTATCCCTGCAGGACATCCAGACTGCATACTCTAAATTTAAGCAGCTATTTCTGATAGGTGAGAAGAATGCTAAGCAAACACTTGCTGTCAAAAGGGGAAAGTCATGCCACGTGGATCAGGTGAAAGTTGGTGCCCTTTCCCTGGATTCCCTGTGGTGGTTCACAGAGGCTCGTGGCCGTGAGGGTCATGTCGTGGAGTGGAGGCTGCTAGCCAAGGCTGCCATTGTCACATTCTCCCTCCATTTTTCTCCAGGCTTTTGCCTCACTGCCCCTTCTCATGGCAGTGAACACGGAGCCACCCCTTTTCTTCTCTCCTTTCCCCACAACGGTGAGCACTGGGGCTTCTCTCTTTAAAAGTTGTGGAGCCGTGCAATACCTATAGTCACTGGCTCTCCTGCAGTGATTTATAAAGTGAATGATCTGTTTGTTTTCCTTAGTGGCTTGCTGAATGGACTTTTTCCCCCAAATGAAAATATTTTACTTTTGTTTCTCTGATTGAGTATATACACTTTTTATTTATTTATTTTTTTGTGTGAGGAAGATCAGCCCTGAGCTAACATCCGTGCTAATCCTCCTCTTTTTGCTGAGGAAGACCGGCTCTGAGCTAACATCTATTGCCAATCCTCCTCCTTTTTTTCCCCCCCGCAGCCCCAGTAGATAGTTGTATGTCATAGTTGCACAGCCTTCTAGTTGCTGTATGTGGGACGCGGCCTCAGCATGGCCGGAGAATCGGAGCGTCGGTGCGCACCCGGATCCGAACCCAGGCTGCCAGTAGCGGAGCGCGCGCACTTAACCGCTAAGCCGCAGGGCCGGCCCATACACTTTTTAACAATGTAAACAATAACAGAAGTGTATACCTCTTAACTAGAACACATTGTGATGCGTGTTATAAAATACATTTATAAAAAGCAGGGGCCTGGCAGGGAGAGGTACATAAATTATACTAATTGATATAGGACTGCGATTCTCCACTTTTGTTTTAATCATCCAGGACTTGCAGGTGTATCTGCCTTTTCATTAATTTGAGTTTGCAACTTTAAAATGTATTAGACTTCTGTAAAATGCAGGGCTCTTTGTAGCAAGGTGGGTTGGGGGATTGTGTAGTGGTGTGCAAGGTAAATGTATTTGTGTATTTAGGATTCCAGAGGAAGCCAGATCTCCCCCTTAGGCCTCTGTGGCATCAGGATGTGTCCTATTGCATTTTCCAGTTCTAGGAGCAGCAGCCTGGATGTCAACTATTTCTGCCTAAAGCATGTTATTCTCCTTGTTGAGTTACAGGGTAGACTATGGCTTTGTATACATATCATAGGGCACTTTTTTTTTTTTTTTTAATTGATGTTTTAATGGTTTCTAACATTGTGAAATTTTGGGTTGTACATTTTTGTTTGTCCATCACCATATATATGACTCCCTTCACCCCTTGTGCCCACCTCCCACCCCCA